AGAATGAAAAGAATCCCAAGGAAAACGAGTTTTGGGGGGTTTTTATACAATTCTGGAACTTGCAGGGGGCCTTAGCGCCGCTAAGGGGGGGTTAGCGGCGCTAGGGGGGGTTAGCCGCGCTAGGGGGGTGTTAGCCGCGCTAGAGGGGGGTTAGCCGCGGCAGCTGCTAGCTAGCGGCGCTAATGCTCGGACAGCGGCTTTTCTCTTCAGCTCGCTAGTACATGGCAGCGGCGCTATCCTGTGTGCCTTAGCGCCGCTAAGGTGCCTTAGCGGCGCTAGGGTTCTGGGCAGCCTGCTGGACTTTGCTTTTCGGGCTCGTTTGGGCTCGTTTGAACTCGGAATTGAGTTCCGTTTTTTCCTACGCGTAGCTAACGAACCCCTCTATCTAACTATGTAATCCCAGCACATATTTTCCTGAAAACTTGTCCTCCCAAAGCTTCCGACCTGCACACCAAAAATGAAAGAAAAACGAAGAAAACCGGAAAAACATACGAAAAACACAAAAATACTCACAAGAACGCGAAACACGAAATAAACGACAAAACGACTCTAAAACCACACAAATGACTCAAAATGGGGGAAAAAGAACCAGAAGATAGACACGAAAAACGTAGCAAAAATGGGACAAACAACTCCCCCACACTTAAACCTTTGTTCGTCCCGAACAAAATCAAAAGAAAAGAAAACAAGACACGAGCATGGATATCAGCTTCAAATAAGAAAAGTTTCAAATTCATTGACTTAGCCGAGGAGACTTCAGAAGACCAATAAAACACATCTCAATTACAACTTAAATGGTACGCATTGACAAGACAAACTCTCAAACACGGGAATATCATGTATAATGCCTCACTCAGTTTCTTACATAAATATGAAATGGGAGCGCTCAAATTGGTCGGCAATCAAGTTTCAACATAGGCTTGCTTATCGTCTATTCATACTCTAAAACAATCAAAAATCATGAAGTGCAAATCAAGAGGGCTTCATGGGTTGTAATGTAGATATCAAAGAAAGGACAAATAAGAAGATAAAGTGGCTTAAATAAACAATCACACTTTCGAGCACATAAATACTCGAATATCCCACCACCTATCCGTAGTCAACAAGAAACTAATCATTCCCACCAAAAGCTACATACACCACTAACACATGCTCAAGCTTGAAATGCAAATTAAGTACTCGACTGTTTTTTCTTTTTTTTTTTTTTTTTATTTTTGGAGAGTAACTTTTTCCGAACAACAACGAATCGAAAGGACAACAGTCCATAGGTTTAAACATTGGAGGTCTTCCAAGTGTCCTACAGTAGTTTCCCAATGCTCATTACCCATCAACGTGAATCGACTAGTAAGAGGAGCAGAATCCATTCGAATCGCCTTGTGAGCTCTCATCTTTTTTTTCTTTCTTTCTTTTTTTTTTCTTTCAAGCACTCAAAATGCAAACAAGTTCTATGCGTCATCAACACCTATCAAAAGCTCCGTCATCATATCAAGTACACTGTCAAATCTCAAATAATTCAATCGAATCGGTTGACAAGAAATACGGTTCAAGGCTCAACGGGCTACTAGTGAAAATATAAGTTCAAGGGTCAATGAAAAGGGCTAAAACGAGCTATGTGAAAGAAATGCCTCAATCAT